CGTACTTGGTAAAGCATTCCAGATCTTGGGGCCTTGGTATTCAAATGCCCTTTCACCCATTGTTTTAAGTTTCATAGATGGTAAAATAAAGAATAAACACGAATGTGCATTGCCTTTTTGGAGTATGTATCTATATAACTCTCGGGGTCTTGTAATAAAACTCCTGCATGTGGTTGAATGATGCTTCAGATGTGATATGTACATTTATTGTCAGCTTTACTTTTCTTTTCATATTGAATTTTAATGAAAATAATATGTCATTTAAATGTATGTGTATACCTAGATGTGTTTTTACGGTCCTGTACCGCCAAGAAAAATTTCCCTCTAGGAAAATAAAGTAATATCTTATCTAACCTTATCTTATTTTATCTTATCTATCTTACAGTTGGGGGGGAGGATTACTCACTGTCCATTACGGAGGTATCATACGTACAATTTAAAACTGTCCGTTTTCTATCTTTGACGTATCGCAAGAACAGATGAGCCAATCGTTGCAATTCACTTCTTTGTGATCTTCAAATTCCTGCAAGGCAAGGAAAAGAGTCATCTGCGAGATATTTTGAGAATGTTGTTGCACTGGCTGCGAATTTGACATTATTATCTTAACGATACGACGTAATTTTTCCTATATTTCATTCCGAGAATTTAATCGAGTGTGGGCAGCAGGCTCTTAGACATCCATCAGCTACACAAAAAATCAGGGTGTATTATTTATTTCTTAGAACACAGTGAGCCCGGAAAACTGTCTGTTTCAACTGTTTATGCGATATGCCCTTTAGCCCAATACCACTACGAAACGATACAATAGTTGGCCAGTTACTGATCTGTCGATGAATTGTGGGCAATGACATTGATATTGGTATTCTATTATAATATTAACATTCCTTTTGGCCTGACCTCTTCATTCATTAGTGGGGCAGACAAAAACTAAAGGTGGATGGTGCAGTGACACTATATAGAAAAAAAAACCCATCTCACAAAAGGGGGTGGTGATATTGACATTGATTGGCCGTATTATAAAGAGGTGACCGTATTATACAATTGGCCGTCATGGCAGGTTCGACGTTATTCCTAATATTTTTGCTTTACATGAGTTTGGCTTAGTGTAAGGGTAAGGGTTGAGTGGAATAATGATTCTATATCATCAATAATTCATAAGGGTTTTAAGGGGGAGCTGAAATTGGGTTTTAACTAATGAACCCTTCACCTCCCTCTCCCCAACTCACTCACCCCTACTTTTTTCCTTCTCCAACCCCCTCTCTCCTCCTAC